TCTTTAGGTGATCCGAAAGGATGTCCTTTACTTGGTGGTGCCCAATATAGTCAAACTGGACTTTAGGGTACGGCATTCTGTTCCTGAAGTTTCAGCTGCGTGAATGGTTCCCGCTCTCAAGCTGGGCGTCTGTTGCTCTTGGCTTCCTGCAAGGGAGCTATAGAATTTGACCCTTTTCGTGCTTGATTCCACCAGATTTGCGTGCCACCTTTCTGTGCTCAGCCTGCTGGTTAAAACCAACTGTACACAGCTCGCATGAGTTTTCAGACGTTTGGGTCAGAAACTCGAGGACGACGGGTCAGAAACTCACTTGAGCTGAACCTTTTTGAGACACTACAGTACCTGTTTTTTGGGTGAGCGCATCAACACATCCTTCGACTGACGACGTTTTTCGTTTTCTTTTTCTTTTCTGTGGCGTGTCACCAGCTCCATCCAAGTCCCTAACCAGCTCCACCTGCGCGCCTCTTTCGCTCAGTCCGACCTCATGCAACTCTTCGCGCCCTTCGGGCAGGCGGATCACCGACGTTCCGAAAAGCATTCACGTGGGTGAGAGACATGGGTGGAAGAAATGGTACCACAGCGAAAAGTGCGACATGGTCATGTCTGGTTACATCGAACCGCAACATCTGGTCCACGACTGCGGGAAGAAACCAGAAAAGACACCCATGCAGGGGCCTTTTGGGACATACAAAAAACCCTGCCCCCCTTCCCCACCCCAAAGTCGTCTTTGCACCAGGTGCTGCACAGGTTTCTTCCACTTTTCTCAGGGCGCAAGTCGGTGCCGAGACGGCGAGTCGTCCGGTAAGACGACGGGCTTCGGCGGTGTTGTTTGACCAATATGAAGTGACAAAGAAATAGCTCAGCTCAGCAATGCATACATACTGCATAGATCTGCATAGATCTGCATAGTTGGCATAGTCATACTTAGCCCATGATATCAAGTAGTAAAAGGGTTCACCAGGGTGCCCAGCCTCTTCCTTTTTGCCACAGGCTCCAATCATGATAAAGCTCACACCACATGATCCGTGTGAGCCAGTAAGCCTGTACTTCCCCATGATGTCAGGTCACCGCGGCCCATGTGCAGCGTGATGCGAATGGCTTCTCCCGCAGCTGCGGTTTCGTGACGTGCGCCCGTGGTGTAGCGGGAGACCCCGAAAATCTCGCCACGGATTTCCCGGTCGAGGGCGTAAGGGCATCAGCTGCGTTGACTCGCATTGGTCGTGGGTGGGCCCGGTGTAGGAGATGGGATCCTGAGGGCCATATGTGCTCGTACGTAAGAGACTGGTAGTCTTAGTCAAGTCATTGTTTTGTATGACTTGTTTGCAGGTTGATTGATGAGTAGACATGTTAGTAAGTTATATAGAGGTAAGAACAGGTGCAAGGAAACGAGACACTGCAGGTGGGTAGAGGCCTGAGAAGAGCTTTTGAGTTTGAAACCATCCCTCATCCACAAGCCAAACAGCCGAACACCAAGCCAAACGGCCGAACACCAAGCCAAACAGCCGAACACCGAATCCAGACTCCAGAACTGAGCCCAAGCTCCTTCCTTGACATGTTAGCTCCAGTGACGCCCTGTCACCTCGAACTCATGCAGGTATGCCTCTTCACAAGCCGCTGAACAGGCCATCACCGTCCCATGCACAACGGTCTTGATTTCTTTTTAACTTTGAAGGAATGGAAGGAACCTCGTCTCCAGGAATTCGTTCAACACCACCATTCCGATCCAAAAGACTTCCAAACTTGGGCCTCCTGCAGTTGATGGTTTGTACGGCTGGCACGTCCCCATCTCACCCACACACTTACGCACTCACCAGTTGCTCATTCGCTTGGAGAGGAGACTGGCCTCGCCAGTTCCCTCATGTACATCTCCAACCAAGCGCAAACCACATGAATGAGTCGAGTATTAATGTGGAAAAGCCATGGGAGTAGCGACCCTATTGGACAATAGCTATGGGAGTATTCACAATAGCTTTTGTTTTAGGAACCTACAGTATTGGGAAAAGCCATGGGAATAGCGAACCCCCGGTCGTGCCTTCGAAACGACATATCGGGAGGGGTCCGCAGCTGACCCAAACTTTGGTCCAATGAAGAATCATCCCTCTGTGCACATAAATGCTCACAAATTCATCCCAAACACTGAAATTCACCATCATGATTCACCATCATCATGATGATGGTTGTTTGATCATCCCAAATGCTCACTGATTCACCATCATCATTCATCCCACACACTGACTCAATTCCGGTTCTGGGATCTCATAGCTTGAGTTCTCAGTCTTGCTGGGGATAAGGATCATTTTTTCCCGGAGGCATCCAACATGATGAACGGCTTCGGTGCGGGTCCCCAAGCCACGGTGGACATGGCTTCGCCGCAGGTGCGATGGCCGGACCTCGGATGTCTGGTGGACACAACAGATCGTGGACATGCAAATCTTGCTTGGGGTGGATTGAGTAAAGAATTGTTCTCACGTGAGACAAATCCATTACTCAATCCAGGTACAAGTTTTGCTGCTCCATTGCTTGCGCAATTGGGTTTGGGTTGTGGTCGGGGGATTCTTTGGCTTTGGTTCCTCTTCCGACAGTTGGCACTCCACCACGGTGTTATTCCCTTTTTCCAGTTGCCGCATTGGCCGTGAGTAGGGAGGCACTCTTTTGTCCAGTTCTACCCCACGAACGTTCCATGTACCCACAAAAACGGCTTTTGCCCCACGTGCTCATTTGAAGGAACATGTTGTTTGTTCCGCACACCGTTCGCGAGAACCGTCGCACTCGCACCGAGCGGGTCGCTGAGGTGTGGATGGCAAGTTCCTGAAAGTCTCCCTCACACAGTACGACCCGACTCTGCCGTCGACTCTGCAGTACGACCAGAAGACATGGTGGAAGACACATCTTTGGGGACGGACATGGTTAGGAGCTGGAAGCCATACATGTTTACATGCATCATATCAATTTGTCAACATCTTTGCCGCTTACCGTTGGACATGGATATGGCCAAGAACTCACAACATTCAGACCATCTAGAGGAAGTCACTTTGCAGGCACCTGTCCTGCTTTTCAGCATCGATTTTCTGGGTGCCGGTTCCCTTTTTTTTTCTGGAAGGAAGCTCAGAGATCTCAGAGATCTGGAAGTTCGACACCCGGAGAAACCAAGAAGTTTGGGGGCTCTCCGAGAGAGTGAGAACCCACCAGTGGTCGAATTCGGTTTGTGTGGGGTGCCCGGCTTCGTGCTTGGTGCGGGCTGCAGGTTCTAGGATTCTCAGCATCTAGTGATAAGTGATCAGCCAAAACCATCCAAAGCTCATGTGGACCCGCCCTGACTGGTGAAATGACTCCCGTCCACATCCCAGAGATGTTCCATTCGCCGCGCCACCGGGAATGTGTCCCGATCTGACTTGTCCCGATCAACGAGAACGAGAATCTGTATCGTAAGGGTGGCCGGTGGCAGCATCTGGGAGGGTGTTTGTTTTCTTGCTGTGAGACATGATGACGGTTTTGCTTTTGCCTCAACATGGACTTAGATGATAAGTATGAAGCAGCTTTTGATCCAAGGGTAGCATGGCCGTCCATGATGCCGTCCTGCCGTCCTGCCGTCCTTGTTTTGCTCGAGCCCAAGGGCTCCAAGAGGAGCCACAGTTGTAGCTTGGAACCTAGTAGCAATGGCCGTCCACTCTAATAGCGATGGCCTCCAACCTAATAGCTATGGCCTCCACTCTAATAATAGCGATGGCCTCCACCTAATTGCGATGGCCTCCACTCAAATAGCAATGGCCTCCACTCTAATAGCGATGGCCTTCAACCTAAGAGCGATGGCCTCCACTCTAATAGCGATGGCCTCCAACCTAAGAGTGATGGCCTCCAACCCAATAGGACCTCTTGAAAGGACCCAGGTGTGGCCCAGTCTTCGGAACATGGTGTCCTCACTGAAGAATCCAAGCTTCCGACCTGCTTCCTCTGGGTCTTCCTCTACCTTACCATCCTTAGCTCTAATCTGGCCTTGGCTGTGAAGCGAAAACCATCCCGTGCCCCAACACTGAAACACTGCCTTCACCTCTGTTGTGCATTGCACAGGAGTTGGCGGAAGATCAGAAGTAGGCAGTCGAAAGACCAAGCAGCCAGCCAACTCCATCCACTCCATCCGACGCCATCCAGCAAACCCGCCATGCAGCTGACTCACCAGTCTGCCAAGCAAGACAAATCAACCAAGCTTTGACCACGACCCAAACACCCAGCTCCCCAGACCCCCCAGCTCCCCAGACCCCAGTCTTCGTCCCTTCCGTCGATGCGCCGATGGCGGGCCATCCTTAGTGCTTCCATCGGCCTGGGCTTCGGCGCAAGGCGCCCAGGGGCAAGCCCATGGGCGGTTGGACGCGAGCTGCGCGCCCAGCGGCGCAAATGAAAAGACACCCCCCTTTTCTGCTGGGTAGACGGTTCGATTTCGCGAACCCAGGGGATCGGTTTTGGCGGAGGTCTCCCTCTGTTCATCCATTCGCCAAGTATTTTCATGACCAGCGGATTTTTGTAGACTTAGAAATCGGGGTTCCTCGTACTTGCGTAGTAGTGGCAGTGGCAACTTTGGGTCAGGATCTGGGAGGATGTTTGGACTGATTTCAATTGCTGCACAGTCTGCGTCATCTACATAGTCTATGTGTGTTGCTATGGTTGAAGAACTGCTCCTGTCGAGTCGCGTGCCAGACTCGAGAAATCTCCACCACAAGTTGGCGGACCGCGAAGACATCGAAGTTGGCTTTCTGGGCCCAAAAGAACAACTCTAAATGGTTTGGAGTCTTTGGGAAACCCTTGACTTTTGCATTCTTTTCTGGGGTCTGAATGGTCTGAGGCGAAACCTTCTTCAGTTTCTTCTTTCAAAAGGTGGCAAAAACCTCAAAAGGAATTAAGACAACTTGGACATGCGATGTCCAGGAACCTGGCCTAGAGACCCTTCAGGCCTCGAGCATAGAGCTAGACCCCATTCAAGACTTGACGCCCATCCCCGCGGCCAGGCGTGCCATGCTTTTTGATGCGCACTGCCACCTCCAGCGTCTCCCCGACGCAACCGCGCCGGACACCTGGGTCGACCGCGCACGGGCAGCCAGGCCGCTTCCCGTGTGGGGCTGCGCCGTGTGCGGCTGTGAAGTGGCGGACTGGGCGCAGGTCGAAGAGCTTCACAGGCGGAACGAGAAGCAGTTGGAAGTCGTCTTCAGGGTTCGGACACAGATGGCCAAGAGACTTTCTTGGGGAGCACCTTGAGACGGACCGGAGGACACTCACAGTCGCAAGTGACTCATGAAGCGCTCCCAGAATCCCACTGGTCCTTGAAGTGGACACACTTCATATTGAGAAGGATATGAAGCATATTGAAGCATATATACGGTCTCGTTCCGCATCTTTCCTGCATAGAACATGCAACAGTCCGGAAGATTCCGCTTCATCTTTAGGAACTCCCGTTTGGAATGTACACTTGATGGGAATGTCCAATCATTTTGCGAACCCAAGTCGAAGAGAAGTATGCATCCAACTTCATCTCAACTCTTCAGTTGGATTGAGCCCAAGTCAAGTTGGGCAAGATGTTTTGATAACAGAGAGAGAAAGAGAGAGAGTGTGTGTGGTGCCCAGCCTCACACATCGGCAGAACTTCTTTGCCCCCAACTCTTTTGTGTCCCAAGCTCTGCTTTGGTTCGGCTTTTCACTTCGAACAACTGACCTTCCCATGATCCGGTTTTCGGTGGTGATGCCTCCTACCATTTGGACCTTCACATGCCTGCTACATCCTACTTTGGCTCAGGCGCTTCCCCGACTTCGTGGTGCCCTCCTTCGGCCGCCCGACGTACTTCGATGCGTGACGCTCTTCGAGGGAGACCGACCCCGGCAACGACCCCGTGGGTTCGGTTCCGAAAATCGACCAGTCGACCGAAGGTTCGGCCAGGGGGGTCTCCCTTAGTGGTAGCGTAAAGCCACAGTTGGAGTCAAAACTGACCACTCCCAGCAGTAAAACCCCATGATTTCGGTGGCGCTGATCCAGTCATTCTGAAAGGTGGTGGAAGGTGGCTAGGTGGAGGAACATCTTGAGGAATTGTGGGAAGGCCACATTAGCATCGAAGGCTTCTTTTTGATGTTTGGAATTGTTTGGAACATTTCGTTTGGAGTGGTTGGGGAATCCTATCGAATCCTGAAGACCCAAAGTGTTCCACAGTCTTTGAATTGTGCATGAGACAGTTATTTTCACGTGATCCCATGAAGCCCGTGAAGAAGAAAGAAACGGTACTCGTCTCCACAGAGACCGACGATGCCCACAGCTACGCCGATTGTCCTGGGTGACGTTGACGGCCGATCGTTCTTGCGGGACCCATCCTATTTGGCGACCGTTTGCTCGCGTCCAAGAACACATTTGGTTCCTTTTTTTTTCAGGGTTGATATGCAACAGTGACATGCTGATGGCACTATGCGCAAGTGAAAGTGACAGTGAAAGACACCTGGTCAGGTTGCATGATAATCCCCCAGCAGATCGTTTTGTTTCAGTAATTAGGTGTCTTTTTGATCTTCCGTGAAGAAACGCGACCCATGTCCATCTCTCTTGAGCCGACCAGGTATCCACCCCTGGTGGGCCGCTGGCGCCGACCTCGCGCGCCTGCCGGAGCAGCTCACTGCGCAGCTGACGACGTGGCACACTGCTGGCGTGGGAGAGTGTGGCTTGGACGGCGCCAAGAAGAAGGACGCCAAGAAGAAGGTCTGATGAAGGTGAGGTTCTGTCCGAAGAAAGGCAAGAGCAGGGAGGTTGAGTTGAGAGGTTGGGAGAGTGAGAGATGAGTGAGGGAGTGTTGAGTCGATGGTGAGTTCTTGCACAGACAAAGCATGGGGACCCGCACCACCTTTGACTACCGACTTGCTCGAAGTGCGAGGTTTCCTACCAGCGGCACATGACATTGCAAAGTGTTGCACGCACCGAGGGCGTGGCGCCCGCCGGAGTTTCTCACGCATGTGGCCACGGCATGCCAGTGCCATCACTATAGCAAAAAGAACAACCAATCTTCCCTAGATGTGAGCGCAGGAGATTCCCATGGAGCTGCAGCTACAGGCCGAAACGCGGGTACGGAGTATGAAGTTGATCAAAAAATCACCAGTCTGCCCAGTCTCACCGGGAGTTGAGAAATCATGACATGTCATGGGATCCCAACCCTTATTGGGGCTTTAGGGACACTTAAAGGTCGTGGACGAGATATTTTCATTCGCCTTTTAACCTACATTGGGGTGTTGTGTTTTTTCCGTCACTGTAGGCACGTGTTCCAGTCCCACGGATGGTCTCGGTCACATCTCTCCAGCCACTGGTCTGAGAAATGTTATACATTGTTATACTATGTTATACTGTTACCTTATGTTACCTTGTGGAGAGTGGTAACGGCGCAGTTGGTTCCTTCCTTTGCAGTGCCCGAGGCACGAGAAAATCCTTCGAAGAGGTCCTGAACTCCGTTCGTTCGCCGAACAGTCTAGTGACGCCACCATGGATGGAACATTTGGATGGGGTAAATGGTTGCAACTATTTGCAACTATTCCACTCCCATGGAGTGTCTGGCTTGGTCGAAACCGGTGGAAGCCGGCCTGAACTTTCACGGAAACCGGTGAAGCGGCCCTCCCTCACCCGTGCTCAGCGGTCTGTAGGTGTTGCGCGCCCAACTTCAACTGGCCAAGGACTTCCAGAGGCGCGGACGAAACACGGCAGATGGCTGGGGGACATGGCTGTGGTGCTGAAAGCGGAGCAAAACCATGCAAAATCACTTTCCGAGACCATCGATAGCCAGGTTGACCTGCTTCTGCAGTCTGAAATCCTTAGTCACTAGTCAAGCAATGGTTCTTCAGCAATCGCCATTGTTCCAATGGTGATTGGCCTCCAACTCCACTGTTGGAGGCCAAAGGGTCGCCGTTCCCCTGTAGTGACCCCCGTGGTTCTTCCAAGCCCAGGAGTTCTTTTGTTCGAATCTTCCGTTCGAGTGTAGCCCAGCACATTCCCCGAACCAACTCTCACCGGGCAGCTTCCTTCGGGCCGCATGACCCGAACAAACCGGCTCTCGCCGAGACCGGAGGCCCGTCTCTCTCCATTGCGTGGCCGCACATGGGCTTTTGTTGCAGGCTTTTTCGGGCGGACCGCGAGAGAAGTTTTCATGTGGCGATGTGTCAATACCCTCAGCTCCAACCACATTCTCAGAAGGCAATTAGTTTGACTTGCCTGGCACCAACCACCTTCTCAGGAGTTTGTTGGAGCCCCACAAATACTAGTAACTATAGATGTAATTAGTGTTAAAAGACCTGAAGGGAGAGTGTGGACTCCGATTCAGCAGGCCCACTGCAGGTGTGCAAGCGTAGCGGACCTGTGTTGTGACCTGGCATGTCCACTCCACGATCAAGGTTTGAGGTTTGCTTGCGGTGCTTTCTCTAGGGACTTCCGTAACACGCCTTTTCAGGGGGTTTATTGGTGCGACTTTTGAGCGCAGATTTGGACATTGTGGAGCAATTTTCTGTTTGAGACCTCTTTGACCTAGCTTGCTGACTCAGAGCAGAAAAGACTGGGTGCAGCTAGGCATTGGTCTTTTTTCCTATGGAAGTGGTTCGTAGGACTGAAACCCAGCATACCCGCATACCCTTGGATTTTTTGGTCCTACCATTGATTCAATAGTGTTTACTGAACATCCATGGATTTAGGATTCTTCTTCAGCCTTTTCGGGTTTCATGTTCTTGGAAGGCTTCAGTAAACACGGTGGTTATGCCGAGTCTTGCGGTGTCCTGGAAGTCAAGTTCCAGCTTGGAGGGAGGAATGGTCCTTGGAGGAGAACTTCAGAGTACGTGCATGAGTTCTAGGAAGAGACCGTACGTGATCTCGTGGTCTTGCTTATGGTGATTGATCATTTCCCTAGGGGTAACGCATGGTAAAAAGCCCCCTTCTATGGTAATGTTGTTATTTGTTGTATGTTTTCCCCAGTTCCTGGACCGCCAATCCGCTCTTCTTCTCCGGTTCCTGCAGGCGCTGGAAGAGTGTTTTCCCACCGGTCACCCGCCGGGCTTGCTGTCCGGGCGCCTTTCCGCGCGACCGGGCGGACGGAAGGAAAACAGAGCAAGACCCATTGGTTGGGGAAGACCCCTGTTTTTAAGCGTTCAAACAACAGCAACTAATCTCTCTCTATTATATATATATATACCAGGACCCTCCAACAGGCTGTTTGGAGACCCTAACAGGTGGTTTCTGGACACCTGTTGTCACCAGGAAACACCTGTTGGAGGGTGCTGGTATATATATATACATATAATATATATATATATACGCAAAACACTTCAGTGACTTAGTACTTAGTGGCCAATGATTCTCCCCACATCCACCTGAGCCTTTGTTTTGAGTTTGAAGCAAAAGGGAACACCAACCTATAATGGCAAGCGACAGGGCATTTTTTGGCCCTCCCAACCTGTACCCAACAAGGTCCACTTGTTCAAGGATTAGGAAAAAACACCTGACACAACATCCCAGAACTCAGGAGGGTGTTTGCAATCATCCTTTCCCCTACTACTTCTCAAAAGACATATACTTTGGGTCTGTCCCATTCTGTCCCATACCTGTAACAGTCGGTAAGCAATTATCACGTTACTATCTTAGAGAAAGGCCTTTACTAACCATCGTCATCCACTGTTGCTGGTAACAGGATATACCCAAATGTCTACGATCTATTATAAACCAATTCTTTGCATCTGCCGTTCTTCCATCCAAACATCAGCTACCTCTACCTGATCCTTCGAGGTATGTGTGGTCCCAAAGTTTCGGCAAGTTCCTGGGACATTTCGAGATGTCTCCAGTTACGTCTTCTATCCTGTCAGAAGCTATCTCAAATCAGGTGGAAAAGAGCATGTCCTCAAAGAGCAACTCCTTTTGACGGGGATGTTCAGATTCGACCCGAAACCCAAGGTTTTGGGATACACAAACGAGATACAGTATCCCGGGATGTAGAGTTGAGTGGTTCAAACATTGGCATCCGGATCACTCGATCACTCGTGATTCCACCCTTCCAAACTGGGATAGGATTCGGGTGTGTCCCACCAGTATCCTAAGCACAAAAGAGATGATCCTTGTTGGGAAAGGCCTGCAACCTAAGCACCATCATCCACTGGGCGCCAATGTGCCGGGGAGATCTAGAGACTACCCAATGCGCGGTCGGGGCTCGTCGGTCCGCCGGTCGTCGCCTTGTTTCGGCCTGGGCCCGCACGGTCGGTCCGGAGCCGCGGTCGCAGGGGTGTCACTTGCCATCTCAATGGGCCCGGGGCAGTGATCAGATGTTGTGTGCTTATTGTTCCTCCTTCTTTCTCGGAAAGATGACACCCAGTTTGAAGTCGTTGCTGACCAAGTAGTTATCAGTGCTTTGATTGGCATGCACATCTGAAACAGAGAGCAGGGTGTTGGTGGGGAGCGACTGATGCCCGGTGAAGCACCAAATTGCTACTGTAAACACACTGGGGAATGGTGACAGTTGGAGGGTTGAAGGAGTGGATTTCTGACCTTCTTTTTTTGAGAAGTTTGATGTTGAGCCTGGAAGGCGCTTGGTACGTCCTCCCTTTCGAAACCTCCCCGCGGCCACCGGACCTGCGCGGTGACCTGCAGCTTTCGATTTCAAGCCCTTTCTGCGTTGAGGTGTGTGCTCTTCGGGCTTGGTATCCACCCACGAAAACGACGATCTGATCTCGATTTTCAGCACTGTGTTGATTTCGGTGACCCTTTGCCCGGGGGGAATTTCTTTGGCGCTGGAACACAGCGCTAAACGACCAAAGGAGGGGGCTTGACGGTCATGGCCATGAGCGGTGCGGCGAGCCCCATGGTTCAGCAGGATGTGCCGAAAGGACGCTCAAAGGGACCACGGGGAGACCTTGGTCGGTACGATGAAAGATCTGAGACTCCAGCGATGTGAAGTTGTCCCAGAAATGGATTGAAAGGTGAGAACTTCATTTACGTACCAACTCTACCAACCTGGATAAAGATACAGAATAGACCTTCGTGCAGATGCAGTGGACATCGTTTCTAGCTCTGGACTTTTTTCCTTGTGTTGATTTGGGAGGACATGAGAAATCCGTTTTCCACCACCCCCTCAAGATTGTCCACTCTATTCTGCTTTTGACAAACCAATGCGCGACCACATGTCGTCAAGAGGCTACTGTATGGGTGCATCAAAGCAAACAGGGAGACTCGAACCCCAGGCGTTCGGACCATGTGGACACCGCTTCAGGAACATGACCGGGACCGGTCGCAGGACGGACCACCGGAGTCGGAACCGGAGCCTATAGTGGTCATGATCCCGGTGCTTGAAGCCCTAGCGGTGCTGAAGCCCTAGCGGTGCTGAAGCCCTAGCGGTGCTTGAAGCCCCCTGGTGTGACCAGGTCGGTCCCCATGAGTCGAAGGAAGACGGAGCAGAACGTCTTCGGCTCCGCAGGAAAGAAGGTGGCTGAGTGGGCCTTGTGGACCATCGCAACGATTGCCATTATGTTTGGAAGCGCCGCCACTGGGTGATCGGATTGGGACGGCAACAAGAGATGGGTCTTTTTGGAGATGGCTTCTGAGAATTCTGGGGTCTTTTTGAGATGGGTTTGGAGCAGAAACCCACTGCTTAGAAGCCGTCTCCAAAGAATATGAATGAGAATTCTGGGGTTTGGAGCCAAATTCTCTTTCATATCGCAGAACCCCACTCGCAGTTCCAGGTCGACCAGCAC